GGGGGGGGGGGGCTCGGGAGCTGGCAGACAGGACAGAGAGGCTCAGGAAGCCAGGGCTGGGAGTAGAGGGGCGGAGGCCGTAGGACACTCTCGTGGATCCTACCCCCCACCCCAACCCTAGGCTGGGGAGGCCATGTGGTGAGGAGGCTCAGTGCATGGCCTCTAAGGCTAGTCACCCAAATTCAAGTGTCACCTCCATCCCCCGAGAGCTGTGTGACACAGGCAGCTTCCTCATCAGGACAGTGGCAGTGACAGTAACATCTCGAGCAATTGTTAGGATTAAATGAGATAGTATATGTGAAGCTCTCTGCAAGGACAGGCCATAGAGTGCACTCCTTCAAAGCAAGTCATTGCTACCAATCGTTGAAAAGGCTCCGACTGCTAAATAGAGTGTAAGCACCAACAGCACTCACTCCAGAGCCAGACGGCCTGGATTCAAATCTCAGCACTGCCGCTTGCTGTGTGGCCTTGGCCAAGTTACTTAACTTCTCTGTGCCTCCATTTCCTCAGGACTAATTCATTAGGAAAATGAGTGTTCTACTGCAGCGGCTAATCCCTGGGAGCCCCTCCATCCTGCCTTTGATCCTTCCATCCACACCGCTGCAAGAAGTCCCTCCTGACACCCTGTCATCTGAGCCATCTCAGGTGAATTCCACTTTGGATCAGGATCCTGATTTATTGATCGATTTCCCAGCCCAGCCAATGTACATCCCCTTAGGAAAGGCTCCAAACAGCAAAGGAACTCGATTTTCACAAAGATCAGGCCATTTGGGGATAAAAAATGGCAGGTCCCACTGGCCCCTCCCTCCCAGACTGTAATAAGGAGGATGTGAGGCAGGTACTTCAACGAGCACTTGCTGCACAGCAAGTGTTACACACACACATTTGTGTTCTCTCTCAACAGACGCGGCTTTTGGTAATCCATGAAGACGCCTTCGGACTCATGATGTTATTCCCACATTACAGATGAGCAAGCTATAGTTCAGAAAGGTTTGTGCCACCCTAAGTACTCATGTGGGAAACTGAGGAGTCTGGGGAAGTCGGACGAGGGTTACCGGATTGCCATGACACCTGTTGAGTCTGCCTGCCTGGGAGGCAGGGTCAAGGTGCTACCTGGGGTGGCAGAGTTGGCCTGAAAAAGCAAGGCCCCAGGCGAAACATCCTTGAGACCGAGGCAGACAGTAACTTACCCACTTAGCAACAACCTGGGATGAGCTCAGCCACTCTGAGCCTCAGTTTCCCCCTCCATAAAGGACAGGGACAATAACAGGTCCTGCCTCACAGGATCACTGAACAAATTAAATGAGGACATTCCTGTAAAGTGCTGAGCCCATGCCCAGTGAAGCTTGGCTGTTTTTACTCTTTCAGGGGCATTTGCTCCTGGCGGGGGTTCTTACCTGATGGGACGGCCAAACTGCTTTGTGTTCCCTTCACATCTCTTCTGTCCTTCCTCGTTGACGGAAAGAACCTGGAAAGTAGAGAATGTGCTGGCAAACATTCACTTGGCTGCTCCCCCCACAGGCAGCCCTGGGGTCCGGGGAGAGAGGACCCCTACTCACATGCTTCAGCAGTGCCTCCTCCCCCACGGCCTTCATCAAGCCTTTGGTGTCCATGTGGCCCAGGCGCAGGATATAGAGGGGGCGGCCATCTTTGCAGGGGAGGCCCCATAAAGAGAAGGGACATTATTTCAGGAGTGCGGGTGAGAGGGCAGGCCCAAACTTCTCTTCGGAGAAGGCGGCGCCAGGCTGTGGCTCAGCCTGCCCCTCCTGTCCGTTTATTTGCGAATGCTCTACCCACTCCCAAGAGGGACTAATGCCAGTTATGGTGATAGAAGCAATGTGTTCAAGAGTCAAGGACACAGACTGACATCACAGGGGAAACTGGGTGAGGGGCATGTGGGAACTCTGTATGGCCTTAGCAACATCTCTGAAAACCTGTCCTAACATTACACGTTTATCTTGAAGCTTTTTATTTTAATTCTTTTTAATGTTTATTTATTTATTTATTTTGAGAGAGAGGGACAGAGACGTGCTCACGTGCAAGTTGGGGAGGGGCAGGGAGACAGACAGGGTGAGAGAGAATCCCAAGCAGGCTCCACACTGTCGGCGCAGAGCTCAACGCTGGGCTCGATCCCATGAACCGTGAGATCATGACCTGAGCTGAAATTAAGAGTCAGATGCTTAGGGTGCCTAGGTGGCTCAGTTGGTTAAGTAACCGACTCTTGGTTTCAGCTCAGGCCATGATCTCACAGTTCACGGGATTGAGCCCCGCATCAGGCTTTGCGCTGACAGTGCAAAGCCTGCTTGGAATTCTCTCTTTCCCTCTCTCTCTGCCCCTTCTTCACTTAGGCTCTCTCACTCTCAAAATAAATAAATGAACATTAAAAAAAAAAAAAAAAGAATCAGACACTGGATGAACTGAGCCACCCAGGCACCCCTAAAGCTTTTTAAAAAAGAAAATATGAACCATGTTATGAAGGAGTATGGAGAGAGTGGATGACGTTGGTTCTTAGCTTTCTATCAGGCAAAGCAAATAGGAAAAATAAGGAATTACATACTAATACAATGGATTCTTGTTATTCATGGTAGTGATGTTTTCCAAAGTCACCTTGAACACTGAATCAGGAAGTACTAAAGCATCGTTTCCAGGAAAAATATGGGGTAAGGTCCCTGCGAGCCTCTAGACACAACATTTTTGTCAACTGATCAATACATAACCTTGTTCTCTGTGTGTTTCTATTTAAGGACACCTTATTGAGTATATATTGTTGATTCATTAACATTGAACTCAATGCCAGCAGCATCACACTAAGCCTGAAGGAAGCTTATCTAACATTTTCTCCATGAGTCACAGCCTTCTTGTGCTTTGAAACACTAGCCAGCACTCCTGCATTATGCCTGGGGGCCATTTTAAGCACCAGAATCACCCTCAAAATGCAAAAAAAAAAAATGTAGCACTAAGTAGACTTTAAAAAGGACTCTTGTTAACAGTGTAAGAACTGAAAAAAAGATGGACATCTCATTCAACCTCAGCAGGGGACACACAGGTCAGATGACTCTGACTTTTCACCACTCCAAAAGTGTTCATAATTGACCGCAAAAGCACCCTGAGTATTGACTTGGGGGTTACAAATACATTGTGGTGAGGAGGCAAATTCACAAATATGGAATCCATGAATAATGAGAATTGACTATATATTAAAGTGTTCCAACTGGTCCTTTAGGAGAATCAACCTCTCACCCTAATCAATATATACAAATTTTTACATCAAGGGCAGTTTAATAAAAAACTGAGAGGGGCGCCTGGGTGGCTCAGTTGATTGAGCATCCGACTTCAGCTCAGTTTGTGATCTCATGGTTCGTGAGTTCGAGCCCCGCGTCAGGCTCTGTGCTGATAGCTCAGGGCCTGGAGCCTGCTTCAGATTCTGTGTCTCCCTCTCTCTCTGCTCCTCCCCTGCTCACACTCTGTCTCTCTCTCAAA